TAAGCACTTTACACATATTTACCCTTTGACCTTATACAGCCCCCATGAGGGAGGTGCCACTATTAACCTGAGGGGTCCAGTGGGGAAACTGAGGCCCAGAGAGACCAAACTGTTTGCAAAGTTGCACAGAGGGTAAGTGGCAGAGGCAGGCTTTGAGTGGGGCACCTAGCCCCAGAATGCACGTTAAACCACTGTGCTTCTCTGCCTTTGTAACATGGCTGCAAACTGGTTCATTCCTATGGTTGCATAAGAATCACCTGGGATCTTGTTAAAATGCAGATTCTGAATTAGTCTCTCTGGGGTAGAGATGCAAATTCTCAGGGTTCAAACCAGAATGAACTGTTTCAAAACCTGGCTTTGTAATAACTTGGGGGAAAATCTAAATGGTGGTGTGTTCTCATCCTGTGAACCACCCATGAACCTATGTGTTCTGGCTGCTGTTGGTCAGCAGTCTGTCCATTACCCTACACATGCTAGTATGAAGTCAGAGCTGCTATTTTCTTTGTAAACATCATCATTTTACAGATGAGGTTACAGAACTCACAGTCGCACAGAGTCTGGGAGGCAGGGCTGGGGCTGCAGCACAGTGGTCTGACCCAGGGTCTGTGCTCTCTCCCCTGCTGGGCTCAGTTTGAGGGGAGGCGTGCAGCCTGGGTGGTGGGTGCTGGCCCAGACCAGCCAGGACCTGCTTCATGCTGCCTGGAGCACAGGGATGAAACAGAAGCGCAGGGTCAGGAGCAGGCCCGCACACGGTGGGCTGATTCTGAGGCCCAGAACCTTGGTCTAGAACGCTGCTCTCCTTTGGAGGTCTGGATTGGGATCAGTGTGGGGTCAGATGGAGACCCAAGGAGGGGACTTCTCTGTGGTAAGGAGGTTGAATCTGGACTCGGGGGCCTGCACTGCTGTGTTTTAGTCTCCTCGGGCTTCCGTGACAAATTACCACAAACTGATTGGCTTAAAATAACAGAAATTTATTCTCTCACAATTCTGGAGGCCAGAAGCCCAAAATCAAAGTGTTATCTGGGCTGTGCTCCCTCTGAAGCCTGTAGGGAAGGGTCCTTCCTTGCCTCATCCAGTCTGGGAGGCCCAGGCTTTCCTTGGCTTGGGTCTGCATCACTCCAGCCTCTGCCTCTGCCTTCATACACTGTCTTCTCTCTGTTTCTCTTCTTTTTTATGAGGACACCAATCAGATTAGATTAGGGCCCATCTTACTTCAGTGTCATCTCATGTTAATGTAACTAACAAATCTTCAGTGACCACTGTTTCCAAATAAGGTCACATTCACAGGCATCAGGGGCTAGGACTTGAACTTGTTTGTTTTGGGAACACAAATCAATCCATATTTGCCAGGGTGTGACAAGTCATAGTTTCGTTTTGTTCTATAGGATGGTGGTGGACTTACCTCTTTAAAAATTTTCTCTTTTCCTTTCCCTTTCTTGATGGAAAGGAGCTCTGGTGGTGCAGTGCCTAAGGCATTTGACTGCTAACCAGAAGGTTGATGGTTCAAACCCACCAGCTGCTCTGCAGAGAGAAGACTGGACAATCTACTTCCATAAAGGTTTACTGCCTTGGAAACCCAGTGGGGGTCACTATGAGTCAGAATCGACTCGATGGCAGTGAGTTTGCTTCTTTGGTTTTCCTTGATGGAAGAAGCAGAATAGGAACAAGGGTGTTGGGGTGAGTAAGTTTCACCTTACACACCCCAAGCCTTGCTGTCCACATGACGGCTTAGGAGCAAGTCCCACGATCCTCTGTCCTCCTGTCAAGCCAAGTTTCTCCTAACGAGCAGTTTGGCATTTTGCAGTCATTGCAGCTTCATACCCACCAAGGACCATTGAAGGGTCCCCCTGCCCCTCTGAGCCCCCCTGACAAATGCCTTTTGTCCCCCAGGTTTGGTACTCCTGTCATCAGATCTCAGCAGCTGAAGCCTGTTTGTCAGGCTGGAAGTGGATACATTTGGGGGAAGGGAAGGGGGAAACCCAAGTCCACCCACATCCACAGTTCACAAGCCCAGAGAATCTCCAGCCTTGGAGCTTCGTTTTCTACCCACAGCTCTTCTGAGGCTGTTTTCCAAATCACCTCAGGAAGGCCCCTCTGGGGGGGTCTGACCTCAAGTCTCCAGTGCCCCAGGCACCCACAACCAAGCTTAGTTTTTCCAAGGAACACAGGGGAGGGACTTAACCCCCAGACATGTCCCTTTCATTTGGAAGCCATGGACAACAGTAATAGAAACACGCACTCATGTTTTTAAAGACATTTTTTGAAAAATACTAAGCAAGTCTGAATTTTAAGTTCAAAGTGACAGAGTCACAGAATCACAGATTTCTCTATTGGCCTAGATTTTTAAATGGCACAAACCACAGGCAAGTAGCAAACCAAAATAACACCTCGATTTCAGTTGGAACCTTTGTTCCAGGGAACCCAAAGTGCTTCACTTGCCTGAATGGCCCCGTTTGTCCTCAGGGCTCCTTACTGAGAAAGGGGCAGGAACAATTTTCCTTTCTAATGGGAAAAACTAAGGCACCGAGGAAGCAAGTGGCTAGTCCAAGACTCAGCAATTATCAGCAAAACTTGGAACAGGAAGCAGTCTCTTGACTTGAAGGCCACTATCTCACTCCTAGATGAGCTTTGGGTGTTTGGGGAGAAGAACACCTTATACCCCCAAATACGTGAATTATCTGCCCTGGTTTCTTTCTTTGTAAGAAGTGACTCCATCCAGTTGTGGGGGACAGAGCATGCTGAAAAGCAGGTGATTGCGTCTTCCTGGCCCTGGTGGTTCTGATGGGTGCTGCTCACTCATGTGCAGCCAGCAGTCCTTGGTACAGTCCAGTCTCTTGCCTAGTTCTGGGGGAATCTGTTCTTTTCTTTGCTGTTGGGTGTTCACAGAGTTGACGGGGTTGGAGGGCATATCAGTTAGGAATGCACTTGTCTGCAGGTAATAGAATACCCAATATAGAGTGTCCTAAATAAAAAGGATTTATTTCCCTCACAAAACAAGAAGGCTTGTAGGTGCTGCCTGCTGACATTGTTTCGTGACTTGACAATATCAGGGCTGGCATCTCTGTGACGCTCTTTTCTTTGTGGTTGCAAGATGGCTACAGCAGCTCCAGGTACTGCGTTCACTTTCAAGGCAGGAGGAGAACAAGGGCAGGGAAGTAGTACCATCTACAAGCACCCCTTTTTATCAAGAAAATATAAACTGTCCCAAAATCCCTTAGCAGACATCCACCTGTGTCTCATAAGCCATTCTCTCGTTGCAAGGCGGGCAGGGAAAGTAGTTTTTCCTGTCTTTGCATTGGAAGCAGGCAAGGGGCAGGGGAGCATTGCGAATAGGCATTGAGTTAGAATCCAGCATTTGGTCTGCTGCAGAGGGCTTGAAGGAAGTGGGCATGAGAAAAGTCATAATTCCCTGACCAAAAAATTCATCATCTGGTAAAGTCTCATATAGTACACCCATTGCACAGGTATAAAAACGGAGGTCGAGAATTAAGATTCAGGCAAGGAGCTTGAAATGGATCTGATAGTAGGAAAGGAAGAATAAACCAGCTTTTTTTTTTTTTTTAACACTAACTCTGGCCCAGGTATGTCCCAATTTGAGTTTGGGGTTTTAATTGGAAGGCACTGAGGAAGGTGGAGAAACCATTCTGTGGTCCCTAAACAAGAAGAAACCTGGTTGCCATCCAGTTGATTCTGACTCCTGGTGGTCCCACGTGTGTCAGACTAGAACTGCGTCTACAGGGCTGTCAGTGGCTGAGTTTTTGGATGAGATTGCCAGGCCTTTTTTTCTGTGGTACCTCTGGCTGGATTTGAACTACCAACCTTTCAGTTAGTAATTCAGCACAAACCATTTTTGCCACCCAGAGATCTAAACCCATTGCCATCAAGCTGATTCAAACTCATGGCAACCCTGCATATTTCAGCATGTAACTGTGCTCCATAGTGTTAGGAAACTAAACTTCCTGGCCTTCCTTCTTCAGTGCTTCTGGGTAGATTTGAACAGCCAACCTTTTGGTTAGTAACTGAATGTAAACTGTCTGTGCCACCCAGGAGCAGGGTGGGGGTGGGAGTCTCTAGAGGAGTAGGCCAAGGCCTCGTTGGTGGATGTGGAGGAGTCTCCCCTTCTCTCTTGGCCTGGCTGCTCCTTTCCCCACCCCAGTCACTGCTGAGATCCCTCTCAGGCCTCCTCTGTTGAGAAGGAGCGTCTCTGCTGCCTGGCTCCCTGTGCCTCACTGTGTGGTCCTCACCCCTGGCTCCCAGCCTTCCTGGACTGGCTGACCCACTACAAAAACGGCAGGGAGGCCACATGTTCTGACCTCCTCTAATCCCACAAGAGGAAGGTAGAATCACCATCAATAGCGCAAGACCTATTACTGCAAGGCCAGACATGCTGCCTCCCTCCAGCCCTTTCACCAACTGTTCCTCCCAAAGCACCACTACCTCTCTCCTGGGTTCGGTAATTCGCTGCAGTGGCCACACAGAGCTCACAGATTATGGGGTTTATTAGGGAAACACCACAGGCTACAATTCAAGTTCAGGAAAAATGCTCAGTCTCTCTCCCATCCCACCGTCCCTCAGCCAACAGCTCTCACAGTCTCTTTCCCAGCAGTGCTGGTCCCTCGGTGTCTCACTCAGCAATGCGTGTCTCTTGTGTCTCTTTCCCAGCAGCACGTGCGTGTCTCAGGAGCCCTTGTCTTTTTCAGCAGCACGTCTTCCTCAACCAGCAGTCAGAGAGCATTCTAACTCTAGGAGGCCTCCTTTTGAGCCTGGCAGAGTGGTCAAACTAGCCAATCACAGCACCAGAACTCTAAGCACCTGAGAGAGAGTGGGAACCTCCCAGAACATTGTGTTGTGCCACGCCCAATAGAAATACTCCACGTGGATAACATTTACAATCAGGAGCTCCTCAGTTATTCATTCCACCACTGGGTTTACAATGACTTATGGGTAGAAAAACCATGCTAAGTAATTTACTACACTGCACCCACCCTTTCCTATTCTAGGTCCCACGAATCTATTGGGAGCTCTCCACCAAGCGGGTCCTTCTGATGGAGTTTGTGGATGGCGGACAGGTCAATGACAGGAGCTACATGGAGAGGAACAAGATCGACGTCAATGAGGTGAGGCCCAGAGCTCTGGCTGCTGTGACCGAGGACAGGGGTCTAGTCCAGGAGCCCAGTCCAGGAGCCCGGCTTGGGCAGATGTGGCCAGGATGAGGCCTCAAGTCTGGCCCCACTGCCTTGAAATGTGGATGGGGTGTGAAAATCTTAGGGTGAGAAAGAGCCTCTGAGCTCATCTAATCCAACCCTATGCCCATCTCCTAAAACTGGTAGTTGCAGTGCATCATGGGGGCAGGGACATGCTAAGCCTCAGAATGAACTTTGGGATATTCCCAGTGCCTTGTTTCCACTTGAAGATGTGAAGGAGCTTGACAGTATTTATTTAAAACAAACATGGCCATATTTTGGAGCAGAAGGAAAACTTGGTCTGAAGTTTAAAATAAAGATAAACTCCTACCCATTTGGGGTCCTATTTCATCTCCCTGTGTTAGGAAAACAAGCAGACAAAGTTAAGGAGCCTTTCTCCCTGCATCTGTTTGGTTGAGTCCATTGAGCTCAGCCAGTGTTTCTTGGGCGTCTACTGGGCATGTAGCCTGCTTTAGATGCTAGAAATAGAGACAAGGCCCTGTCCCTAAGGAGTACATGATCTAGAGAGTGACGGTGCACAGGTATAAACAAACAACAAAATTAATAAACTTTGATAAATACAGCAATAGAGCTGTGCACAAAGTATCCTGGTAACTCAGGAGGGAGCTTGTAATTTGGCCATGAAGGCATGAGTAGTAAGAGGGAACAAGCTTTAGGGGAGGAGGTGGACTGTGAGTTGGGCCACGATGGCCATGGAGCTCTCCAGTGGACTCAGGAGCAGAAGGCATGTCAGCCTGTGCAGTAGACAGAGGCAGGGATGCATAACCCCATCTACATCACTGCTAGTGCAGAATCACCCAGCCTCCTCTGGAATGCTTCTGTTGTTATGTGCTGTTGAGTTGGACCCAACTCATAGCAACCCCTCCTTGGGTTTTCGAGGCAGTATGCCTATGGACGTAGATTGCCCCATCTTCCTTCAGAGGAGTGGCTAGTAGGTTTGAACCGCCAGCCTTCTGGTTAGCAGTCAAGTGCCTTAGACACTATGCTACCAGAATGCCTCTAGTGATGGGGAACTCATTAGCTCTTCAAATAGTTTTCTCGGGGTCTAGCACAGTGCGGACCACTAGTATTTAATGAATACTTACTGAGCAAATGAATGAACCGACTAGCTAGTCAAACAGGTTGCTCTTTCTGTTGCTGAACATCCCTACCTGGTGGCCCAAACGCTGTGCAGGTGCTAGGGGAATCTTTCCCCTTCTTGGTTCACATTGCAGGGCAGAGTGCTGCCACCCTGTGTGCTGGGCACTGCTGTTCTTGGGGCCGCTCAGCCCTGGGTGGGAGATACGGCCTGGAAGCCCAGCATGCCACCCTGCCCTCAGGGGTCTGCCACACAGCACCTCCATTCCCTGCAGCGTCCACTTGGACAAGCAGCTTCCCATGTTTCTTGTACCATTTGAGCCCTTCAGAGCCAAGGGGCCACAGAGTGCAGTGGTGCGAAATCAGGGACTTGATCCTTCCGCCCCTGTGGAGAGAGGACACGATCCTCTCTCTTGCCTTGCGCTCTCTGCTCTCTGTCACTACTCAGAACATAGGGCATCAGGCAAAGAAGAGCCAGGGCTTCTGTGAGGACCACAGTAGCCAACTGTATCAGCTTCCCAGAGCTAGGGGAAAAGGAGCGACCCCTCCTGGGGTTTCTGAGGTGGTATCACTATGGAAGTAGATTACCCAACCTTCCTTCTGAGGAGTGGCTGGTTGGTTTGAGCTTCCAGCCTTCTGGTTAGCAGTCAAGTGCCTTAGGTACTACACTACCAGAGCTCCTTATTTCTCCCTAGGTGATGTAAATGATTTATGTTCTCAGCTTCTAACAGAAAGATTGGAGGTTCAAGTCCCCTCAAAGACACTATTCTGGTTACCTAGTGCCACTCTGACAAGAATATACCACAAATGAGGTGTTTTAACAAACAGGAGTTTATTCTCTTACAGTTTGGAGGCTTTAAGTCCAAGTTCAAAGTGCCAGGCCCTAGGGGCTGTGTAAAAGCTCCTCGACCTTGGGTTTCAGCTCTGCCTCTTGCACCTGGCCCACTGAAGCTAGAGGTGTCTCTTCACTCAGGCAGCCACTGGCTGCTGAGGCTGACAAGCCCAAGGTTGACAAATAATATGGACACAGTCCCGATATTACCAACCCACATGACAGGCCATTGATTCAAGTCCATTGAAAGTCCCAAGGTCAGCAGAGCATGGCAGTCTGCTGAACAACAACACGGCTACATGCAGGGTCCATGTGTGCCATAAACTAGAGACCATTCCCCAAGGCTTCTGCTTGTATACAGAAAGCAGATCACATTCCCTAAGGCAGCTACTCAGCTGCTCACAGTAGATTCCACCATGGAGTTGATTGCCGGTCTCATCATGGGGAATACTACATCCAGCTGCCCAACTACTCATCCAGGTCTAACCAAGTAGCCACACAAACTGAACTACCACAGGCACCTTAGAGGAAAATCCTGGAGATCTACTTCCGAAAAACCAGCCACTAAAAACTCTATGGAGCACAAAACCTGTGTGTTGGGGTCACACACATGGGGTCACCATGTGTTAAAATCAACTTGAAGGCCACCTCCCACTCCCTTGGTCTCAGGGAAACTGGCCTGAAGGGGCTATAACCTGTACCCCACTTTCTTCTTTTTGGTCCCCACAGGGTCCCTGGGATAGGGGCTGTAACTTTTCAAGAAAATTCATCATTTTTAAAGTACCTGCTATGTGCGAATTATGGGTGTTCAGAGGAATTGAACACAATCCCCTTGTTCTTTTTTTTTTTTTAATGCATTTTATTGAAATATAATTTATATACAGTGAAATACAGAAAACTAAAGTGATGTGGGTCAATGAATTTTTTTTGTTGCTTCTGCAGTGTTCCTTCCCCTCCCTTCCCACCCCTGGTAACCAACAAAGAAGGTTTCCTTCCATATATTAATCTTTTCTTGACTTTTTACAATAATGAACTAATATAATATTTATCCTTCTGTGATTGACTTATTTCACTCAGCATAATGTCCTCCAAGTGCATCCATGTTATGTGGTGTTTTGCAGATTCTATATTATTCTTTAGTGTGGCATAGTATTCTGTTGTGTGTGTATGTATCATAGTTTGGTTATCCATTCTTCTGTTGATGGGCATCTAGGTTGTTTCTATCTTTTGGCTATTGTAAATAGTGCTGCGATGAACATGGGTGGGCATATGGGCATATGGGTCTGTTCTTCTCCTGGTTCTCACTTCTTTAGAATATATACCTAGTAATGCAATTGCTGAGTGAAATGGTATTTCTAATTCTAGCTTTTTAAGGAATTGCCATACTGCTTTCCACAGTGGTTGTATCATTTTACAGTCCCACCAGCAGTGTATGAGAGTCCTAATCTCTCCACATCCTCACCAGCATTTGTTATTTTCTGTCTTGTTGAACTTTGCCACTAGTGCTGGGGCAAGATGGTATCTCATTGTTGTTTTGATTTGCATCTCTCTAATGGCTAATAGGGAGCTCTGGTAGCATAGTGCCTAAGGCACTTGACTGCTAACCAGAAGGCTGGTGGTTCAAACCCACCAGCCACTCCTTGGAAGGAAGATGGGGCGATCTACTTCCATAGTGATACTGCCTCGGAAACTCGAGGAGGGGTTGCTATGAGTCGGGTCCAACTTGACGGCACATAACAACAACAACAATGGCTAATGATCATGGACATTTCTTCCTGTGTCTGTTGGCTGCCTGAGTATTCTTTTTGCTGAAGTGTCTAGTCATATCTTCTGCCTGTTTTTTAATTGGACTGTTTGTCTTTTTGTGGAGGTGTTGGAGTTGTCAGTTACATCTATCCCTTGTCAGACATGTTGTTGCTGAATATTTTTCCCCAATCTGTAGGTTCTTTGTTTATTCTTTTGGAAAAGTCTTTTGAAGCACATAAAAATTTAATTTTTAGAAGGTCCCATTCATCTAGTTTATCTTCAACTGTTTGTACATTTTGGGTTATGCTTGATAGTCTATTTATGCCATAAATTGGGGCCCTAAATTTGCCCCTATTTTTCCTTGAGGAACTTTGTACTTTTAGATTTCACATTTAAAGTCTTTGATCCATCTGGAATTAGTTTTTGTGTATGGTGTGAAGTACAGATCTTGTTTCATTTTTCTGCAATGGATATCCAGTTTTGCCTGTTAAAGAGACCATCTCTTCCCCATTTAATGGATTTCAGCCCTTTGTCAAAAATCAGCTGACCATAGGTCGATGGATCTATTTTTGGGTTCTTAATCTGTTCCAATGGTCTATGTGCCTTTCGTTGTACCAGTACCAGGCTGTTTTGACTACTGTGGCTGTATAGTAGGTTTTGAGATCCAGGAGTGTGAGACCTCCTACTTTGTTCTTCTTCTTCTTTAGTGCTTTGCTTATTCAAGGTCTCTTTGCTTTCCTTATAAAATTAGTGATCGGTTTTTCCATATCTTTAAAGACTACTAATGGGATCTGGATTAAGATTGCATTGAATGTATAGATAGCTTTGGGTAGAATTGATATTTTCACAGTGCTCAATCTTTCTATCCATGAGTATAGTATGTTCTTCCATTTATGTAGATCTCTTATGGTTTCTGGAGCAATGATTTGTAGTTTTCTTTGTACAGGTCTTTTGTGTTCCTAATGATATTTATTTTCAAGTATTTTATTTTTTTGGTAGCTATTGTAAATGATATTGATTTCCTTTTCAGCAATCTCTTTGCTGGTGTAGAGGAATCTTAACTGATTTTTTGTGTTGATCTTATATCCCACCACTATGCTAAATCTCTCAATTAGTTCCAGTAGTTTTTTTGCTGAGTCTCTTGGGTTTTCTATGTATAGAATCATATCATCAGCAAATAAGGATAGTTTGACTTCTTCTGTACAACTTGGATGCTTTTGATTTCCCTTTTTTGCCTTATTGCCCTGGCTAGGACTTC